AGCCGCGTCAGGGGAGGCGGCGGGGCCGCGTCAGGGGAGGCGGCGGAGCCGCGTCAGGGAAGGCGGCGGGGCCGCGTCAGGGGAGGCGGCGGGGCCGCGTCAAACAGGCGGCGGGGCCGCGTCAGGGGAGGCGGCGGAGCCGCGTCAGGGGAGGCGGCGGGGCCGCGTCAGGGGGGGGGGCGGCGGGGCCGCGTCAAACAGGCGGCGGGGCCGCGATCAGGAGAGGTGGCGGGGCCGCGTCTGAGGGACAGCGGGGCCGCGATGAAAAAGGCGACCCGAGGGGTCGCTAAAAAAAAGGCGCGCCTCGAGGCGCGCTTCGGTGGGCCCTTAAAAAAAAATGGTCCTAAGGCAGGACCCGCTCTGATACCATGTGAAGTAAGGAAAACAGGAATGAAATGACTATGGAAGATTGGGTACAAATGCAACCCTAGAAACCCTGTACCCCATATGTGCTACCCCACTATAGCCTACAGAAACTATGTCATATAAATCTGACAGAATGATCGAGAGGGGTGGCCCCTATGAGTTCGCGGTCACTGACAACCTCGTCACGACCATGCGTGGGCGCCTGCGCATGGCATTTCCATGGTGGAGCTCGTGGTGCGAGAGCAGTTTCATACACTCGGTAATCGCCAATGGCTACTGGATGCCATGTAAGCATGGACCACCCACGCCGTTCCGGCAGACAACCACGCGGGAGCGCTAATCCATTCCACGTTCACCAAGCAGGCAATAACCGAGCTTCTCGAGAGTGGTGCGGCCACACCCGCCCTCGCGGAACAACAGCTATGCATCAGCCCGCTAAATGTGGTGGTTCAAGGAGAAAAGTGCCGACTGATTCTTGACCTCTGAAGGGTGAACCAAAATTTGTGTATCCCCAAATTCAAGTACGAAGGACTGAGCCGGGTGGCAGAGCTTGTTCATGAAGACGACTGGATGTTTGCAGTCGATTTTAAATCAGGATATCACCACGTTGACATCCACCCTTCCTGCTCGAAGTTCCTCGAGTTCCAATTCGATGGGCGCTCGTTCGTCTTTCGATCTCTGCCATTCGGGCTGGCGACAGCCCCGTTCGTTTTCACACAGCTCATCAAGCAGCTCGCCTGTCGTTGGCGGGCTCTCGGGGTGCGAGTCATCACTTACGTCGACGACATCCTTTTTCTGTGTCGCACGGCAGCAGAAGCGTGAACCACGGGTCAGATGGTGGTGCAAGACCTCAGCAAGGCTGGACTGGTTATCAATTCCAAGAAGTCACACTTGCAACCCACCCAGCAGCTACGGTTTTTGGGTGTCGAGCTGGATACACAGCGCGGCCACTTCTCCATTGGTCCCGAGCGGCGAGCATCGTTACATTCAACCATTCGCGAATTATGCATGGCTGGCAAGGCCGAACGCAAAGTCCCGATCCGCCACGCAGCAAGAGTTACCGGCATGCTCGCGTCGATGTCGCTTGCCATCGGCGCAATCGCGCGCGCATTCAGCCAGAATCTACTACAGACCATTCAGGATGCCCCTTCCTCGAACAGCAGAGTGCAGTTGGTCCCTGCGGTCATCAAAGAGCTCGAGTTTCGGCTACATGAATTTGACAGATTCAATGGAGCACCATTCCATGTCCCGAACAGCTATGACGCAGTTTTCCATGTGGACGCCAGCGCACACAGCTGGGGAGCGACACTAGATATGTTTCCAGGGAGGCAAATCGAGGCGAGCGCGACCATGCTCGTGCACCTCACGACACCCTCCAGCACACAACGAGAAATGGACGGAGTCCTATGGGCATTGCAGACATTCTCGGGAAGGATCCAGCACCGACATGTCCTCGCCAAAACCGACAATCAAGGTGTCTTCTTTATTCTTCGCACAGGTGGATCGCGGACCCCAAGCCTCACAACAACGTGCAGAGCCATCATTCAAGCGTGCGTCACCTTTGGGATCCGGTTGACAGTTGAATGGATTCCGCACGAACTCAACACACGAGCGGATGAACTTTCAAAGATGATAGATCGCGACGACTACGCAATCAAAGCACCATGGTTCCGGCTCATCGAGCGGCGCTTGGGACCGCACTCAATCGATTTATTTGCCAATGCGAACAACACCCAGCTGGCACGCTTCTGCTCCAAAACTCCTCACCCTGACGCGGAGGCAACGGACGCCTTCTCCATATCATGGGCCCGCGAGCATGCATATGCGTTTCCGTCACCCCACCTCATCCTAGCGGTGTTGCATCACGCCCAAAGGACGCGAGCATCGCTCACGCTCGTCGTGCCTCATTGGCCAGGGGCAAGCTGGTGGCCGTTACTACAACCCGCCCCGCCCCAATGGGCAGCCTGCATTCTCGCTCATATCTGCCTCACCCATGGGAGCGAGTGCCTGACAGCAGACACCCACACTCACGCATTTTCTGTTGAAGGATTGCCTCATAGCCCGATTGTTGCATTACAAGTGTCCTTCGCCACCTGACCATTCACACATCAGGTGCAGGATTGCTCGAGCGGCTCAAGCGAGAGTTGCTTCGGATAACGACGCATACAAGGGCTGACTCCACCATTCGCACCTACGAACCATACTGGGCCAAGTTCCGAGCATTCTGCATAGACGTGAAACTGCAGTTCCTGCCATGCACAGACATGACACTCGCATTATACCTGGTCCACGCGATTCAACAGAAGGCCACCATATCAGCAATACAACTGACATGCTCGGCAGTCAGCTTCGCGCATCGGATGATTGGGGCCACATGCTCGTCAACCGGGCCGTTCACATCCAATGTGCGAGACTTTGCCAAGCGACATTGTCCGCGACCTCAACGACTCAAGGATCCCGTCTCGCTGCATCAAGTACATGCAATGGCGGCGGAATTCCTGAAATCGAACAACTCGGGCGAGTTTCAGAAGGGGCTCATCCCACTACTCATGTACGTCGGCTTCCTGCGATACTCAGACCTCGTTGCACTCAATTGGCACGAGATTGAGTTCAAGAAAGACGCTATGTGGCTCCTGAGAAAATAAGAACGAGAATGAATGAACTATGAATGGAGTGGGTACAAATAGGAAACCCTAATTGGGTTGTACCCCCTATGGGATACCCCACTATAGCCTACAGAATAGTGTAAGCTATAAAGTTTTGACACACCCCCATAGGCAAAGTGGGGGAGAACAAGGGGTCACAAGACCAGTCAAGCAAAGCAAAGCAAAGCTAAGGGTGGATCACAAAGTCACCACACAATCCGAGCACAAGTTCAAAGGCCAGAAGGCCAGTTCAAATGCAAGATCACATATATAGATATACAAGAGGCTAAGCAAGCAAGAGCAAGAGAACATATATGTGAAAGTACAAGCAAGGTCAAGAAGTGAGCAAGTGAGGCAAGACAGGCACAAGACCCAGCTGAGTGTAGTAGCGCTGATGATCACAAGGCGCAAGTGCCTTTGTGAAGACATCAGCAGTGTTGGCCTCAGAGGCCACGTACGCAAGCCGCAACTGTCCACGCTGCTGTAGCTCACGAGCAAGGAAGTAGCGTAGAGCAATGTGCTTCGTTCTGTGCTCCAATCGCTGCTCTCGACACAAGGCCAGCATGGCCTTGTTGTCTACGTACAGAACTGGAGGAGAACGAGGCTGCTCTCAAAGGTCGGTCAGCAAGTAGGTGAGCCAGCGAAGCTCCTGTGCAGCCATGGCCCCGGCGTAGATCTCAGCCTCACAACTGGAGCTGAAAACAGAAGACGAGCGAGTAGCCCGCCAGGAGACAAAGCCGGAACCAAGGCTGAAGGTGTAACCCTGTGACGACCGCTGCGAAGTCTGGTCGTCAGCCCAGGAAGCGTCTGCGTGCCCAGTGAGGACCACTGGACGTCGCCCTCCAAGCACTAGCCCCATGCCCGATGTACTGCACAAGTAGCGCAACACCCTCTTCGCTGCAGCCATGTGCTATGGACGGTGTCTCCCAGGAGCAACATAGCGTGCGAGAATGCTAAGAGGGTATGCAAGGTCAGGTCGTGTGCAGGTCATCAGGTACATGAGGCAGCCAACAAGCTCTGGATACGGGCCACTCGACTCTACGGACTCATCCGAAGGCAGAGCTGAGAGCGAGTGGCGAGTAGCCAGAGGAGTGGCCTGAGGCGAGGAGTACGTGAAGTCGAAGCGCTGAAGGACCTGCTGCACCATGTGTGACTGAGTCAGGGTAATGGTGCGGCGTGCTCTGTCCCAGGTGATCTCCAAGCCAAGGTAGCTGCGCAGTTCACCCAGGTCTGTGCACGTGTGTCTCTTCTGCAGCTCGGACTTCACGTAGGCGAGTCCAGCAATGTCAGCAGTGGCAAAGACCAAGTCGTTGATGTACACGAGGATGTAGAAAGGCAGCAGAGAGGTGTCGGTGCGCAGAAACAGCGACAGGTTGGCAGTAGAAGGAGCAAACCCAAGAGCCGCAAGTGTAGTCCTCAGTGTGTCGTGCCACTTACGGGGCGCCTGGCGGAGACCGTAGACTGGACGCCGGAGACTCCACTGGGTACCAGGAGGGAACGACCCAGTGAAGCCAAGTGGGCGGCGCAGCCAGATCTCCTCGTGCAGGCTGCCCTGCAAGAAAGCTGTGCTGAAGTCGAGCGAGTGCAGCTCGTAGTGAGCCGGACACGGGAGGACTGTGGAGAAGTGAGACAGGACAGGACCCCCAGAGGGGTCAGACAGAGACACTGCAACCGGCCGACTAAGCGGCGTGAGTGTGGTGCGGTCCCGAAAGAAGGAGCGAGAAGCCCCACAGTCAAGGGTGAAGGTGAGGGAGGCCGAAGCCGACGGAGTACCTGAGAGCGCAGACTTACCAGTACCTGAGGACGAAGACGCACTAGCGCCTAGAGCAGCAGCGTCGGAAGCACCTAGGGCAGCAGCCGCACCAGTACCTAAAGCAGCAGTCTCAATGCCCGGATCGGGCGGGAAACACCGGTAACAGTCACCCTCATTACTAATAGTCACAGAATACATGGCAGACAAGATAGCATCAAAATCAAGATCATAGATGGCTACTCTCGCCCTAGAAAGCTCGCCCCAGCGAGGGATCTCTGAGGCCTCAGGGAACTGGTGACGCCACGCGTCCGTCAGGCGGCCAAAGCAGCGCTGGGTGGGGTGCGCACCCCCACACTGCTCACCCGCACGGTCGCCGGTGCGCAGGACGTAGGTGCACGGACCAAAACCCCCACCCCGCTGGCGTGCAGTGTACCACTCACGGAGCTGCTGAGGGGACAGGGTCTCATGACCACGCTGCTGCTGGTGGCGCGGACCACCACCGGAGCCACTCCTCTGCGTAGACCCGTGACCAGCTCCACCGCCTCCTCCTCCGCCTCCGCCGCCTCCGCCACCACCGCCGCCTCCGCCACTACCGCCGCCACCGCTACCACCGCCTCCTCCGCTCCCTCCGCCTCCGCCCCCACTGGTGCCACCGGTACCCCCATCTCCTCCACCACTCCCACCACCACCCCCACTCCCTCCGCCGCCTCCACCGCCACCTCCACCGCCCCCGCCAGCTCCTCCAGCGCCCTTGCCCCCCTTGCCCTTGCCTGCGCGGCGCTTCCCCGAAGGGGCACACGCAGCGCCGACCGACTCGAAACCAACGAGGTCGGCCGCAGCAGCAGAAGCAACAGAGGGCAAGAGGGGGGAGGGAGAACACCCCTCAAAGACAGGGGTGCGGGGGTCACCACGAGAGGCTCCTACAGCGACTATGCTCTTCTCTGCCGACAGGAGGGACTTCTCGAGGAGGTCAATGGTGAGAGTGGTGGGGCACACAGCGAGGAAGTGGTCCCTGACTACTCTAAGGGAGTCAGGAAGTCGGGTGACTATGAAGTAGAGGGTGATGTACATGGGGGGGGGGGGGGTTCTTGGCGCAGAAGACAGCAGGGAGCGCAGCGCGGTAGCGAGTGTCACTAGTGCGGAGGTGCGTAATGAGGTCAGCGAATGTGGGAAAGGCAGCAAGGTCAGGGAAGAGGTACGGTAGCATGAGGCGGCTCAGTGCAGCAGTGGCAGGGGAAGAGTAGCATGCAACTACAGCCTCGTACAAGGTCTGAGCACTCTTGTACTGGCTAAAGTGCGCACGCTCGGAGGTAGGGAGGTGGCGACGCACAGCAAGACGTGCAGCAGCGTCGCGCGTGGCCCACTGGGAGCGTACAATGGCGTCAGCATCAGCAGCAGGGGCAGGGGAAGCGCCAAAGGTGAGGTCAAAGAGAGAGAGGCCGTCTGCCCTATTGCACTGTAAGAACAACTGCAGGTCATCTACCCAGACCTCAAAGTCAATGGCCCGACCCTCAGCGTCAAAAGCGAGGACACTAGGGGTAGCCATGACGACAATAGGCTAGTAGTGCAATCAGTAGGGTGAGGGCAGTGCAGTGAAAGAGGCGCTGTGCTCACCAGACTGGGCAACTCGGTCAGCTCGGCGGCTCGGCGGCTCGGCTGCTGGGCGGCTTGGCTGATGGGCGGCTCGGCTGCTGGGCGGCTCGGCTGCTGGGCGGCTCGGCGGCTCAGCTGCATGGCGGCTCGGCTGCTGGGCGGCTCGGCTGCTGGGCGGCTCGGCTGCAGGGCGGCTCGGCTGCTGGGCGGCTCAGCTGCTGGGCGGCTCGGCTGTCCGGCTGCTCCGGTGCCCGGGCGGCTCGGCGGTGCTGCTGCAGGGCAGCGCGGCGGTCGGCTGCTCGGCTAGGTGGGGTGGGTCCGGCACTCATGGTGGCGGGCGGCGCTACAGCAGGTGAGAGGCGGCGAGGCCGCAGCAGAGGGCGACGAGGCCGCAGTAGAAGGTGGCGAGGCCGCAGGTGACGGCGGCAGAGCCGCAGGGGAGGGCGGCGAGGCCGCAGCAAAGGGCGGCAGAGGCCGCAGTAGAAGGCGGCGAGGCTGCAGCAGAGGGCGGCGTGGCCGCAGCAGAAGGCGGCGAGGCCGCAGGTGAGCGCGGCGAGGCCGCAGCAGAGACGGGCGGCGACGGGCCGCTAGTAGGGCGGCGATGGGGCCGCAGGGAAAAGGGCAGCGACGGGCCACCTTAGGGCGGCGGCGGGCCGCCGTTGAAAGGGCGGCGACGGGCGCCGGCTAGGGCGGCGACGGGCCGCTGCTAGGGCTGCGACGGGCCGTCGCTAGGGTCAGGGCAACGGGCCGCTAAGGGCGACGGGCCGCTAGGGCGACGGGCCGCTGAGGGCGACGAGCCGCTAAGGGCGACGGGCCACTAGGGCGACAGGCCGCTGTTAAGGCGACGGGCCGCTAGGGCGATGGGCCGCTAAGGGCGACGGGCCGCTAAGGGCGACGGGCCGCTCCTAGGGCGACGGGTCGCTAAGAGCGACGCGACGGGCCGCTAAGAAGGGCGCGCCCTTAGGCGCGCTTCGAGCAGGGGCAGGACGCGCCCCGGGCAGGAAAAAAAAGGTTGGTGGGCCCTAGGAACAGTTCCCACGAGGGAACCTACTCTGATACCATGAGAAAATATGAACGAGAATGAATCAACTATGAATGAGGTGGGTACAAGTACTAACCCTAATTAGGTTGTACCCCCTATGGGATACCCCACTACAGCCTACACAAAAGCATAAGCTATAATGTTCTGATAGCCCTCGTATCCCACAACGCCGTATTTTGAACTTTTTACCTTATCTTTAGCAGAGCTGTGGGCCATGCCCTCCGTGTCAGCACTAAAGTTGTCTTTGTACACGTAGCTGTAATCTTTACGGCCATCCCTAGTGATGTTTACCATATTAGGATCGCTCATGTCTGTCGTGAAGCAGGTCGATCCAAAACCCTCCTCCGGCCATGATCCACCTTTGAGGTTGAAGAATACGTAATTCATGAAAACATAGAAGGAGTATGCATTGTACCTGCAAACAGGGCAAGAGATGATAGTCAGAAAAACTGCCGTGGCCCATCAGTCCTTTCCAGGAGTACTGTCATTGACACAAAGTTGGCCCTTTCAAGCCGATTGGGAGGGGTGACACATTGAACGCTCGTGAACTAGTACGTCACATCTCAAATCGTTACCTGACTGCCTCACTGCCTGACTGCAGGTGCGGCTGTCTGCACTGCCTATGGCACGTCTGCCACATCGTTGTTTGCGCCTCTTCTCTCTCACGACGGCAACTCTTCTGCCGCTTCTGTCGCTCAGGCCAGGCCTCAGAAGTTGTGGAAGGGAAAGACACTTGGTAAGTGCGAAATGCTCAGTAGTGCACCCGCCGACTCCGACTCGGAGTCTCGGCCGTGCAGCGCGGCACGAAACCGTGTGAAGGTCGCGTTGTGCTTCTGCTTAGCGTCCGCTCCGCGCCCGAGTCTCCGCGTTCGTGCATCATGGAACTTCTCAGCTCCTCAAGAAACTGATGGGTAGCAGCTTACTTCCCCGTCTTCCCCATCCCCCCCAACGACTCCCGTTTCCAGTGAAATACGTGGTCAAGCTGCGTCCTACCAAGCGCAACGGAAAGGTGGTCGGTGACGCAGGAGCTTCGGGGAAACTTATAGTGAAGGCGGTGAGGTAAGCTACGGTTCCCTCGTTGTTCCACTGGCGCTGACACGATCCTTCAACTTTTCTGAGTCTTGCGAGTTGGAGTCCCTTCCTATTTGTGTCGAAGCGTGCTTAAGCAACCACCGTGCACTCTCACGGGTCTTGAACAAGTGACTGCACTGGAGAGGGAGGAGCATTTGGTGCCATGACTGCAACGGTGCCCTCTGAGGAACTTCACAAAATTCCTGGCCCCAACAACATACCCACAAAGGTGGCATAGTACGAAGTATCCTAGCGACGGGCCGCGTAAGGGCGGCAACGGGCCGCGTAAGGGCGGCGTCTGGCCGCGGAAGGGTGGCGACAGGCCGCGGAAGGGTGGCGACGGGCCGGAAAGGGCGGCGACGGGCCGAGTGAGGGCGGCGACGGGCCGCGTAGGGCGGCGACGGGCCGCGTAGGGCGGCGACGGGCCGAGTAGGGCGGCGACGAGCCGCTCAGGGCGACGACGGGCCGCGTAAGGGCGGCGACGGGCCAAAGGATGGCAGCGACGGGCCGCTTAGGGCGACGACAGGCCGAAGAAGGGCTGCGACAGGCCGCTTAGGGCGGCGACGGGCCGCTTAGGGCGGCGACGGGCCGGGTAAGGGCGGCTACGGGCCTAGTAAAGGGCGACGGTAGAGAGAGCACACGAGGCGCGACTCGGGCCTAAGCGGAGCGCGCTCCGGGCAGGAAAAAAAATAAATCTCGACTTGGTGGGCCCTAGGAACAGTTCCCACGAGGGAACCTGCTCGATACCATGAGAAGAAATGAGCATGAATGAACTATGAATGAAGTGGGTACAAGTACTAACCCTAATTGGGTTGTACCCACTATGGGATACCCCACTATAGCCTACACAAATGCATAAGCTATAATGTTCTGACAGTCCCATCCCCTCGAGCACCTATTTCAGCCGAGCAAATCCACCTGCGATTCTTGAGCCTATTATATTCTGCTGCTTCTATGTAGTTCGAGGAAAGGAAGACCCACCCATTTCATAAGCGAGAGCGCCGTTTATTTTCCCCTCTATCTTTCTCTCTTTATGTTCTCCCTTGTCCGCCAGCTTTAGCCTCGCTTGCCGTTCGCTTAGCCGCCTGGTTCTGCCAGCCGCCGTTCATACCGCGCAGCGCCATCGCCTGGTCGCGCAAGATTTTCCGCGTCATGCGCGTGCGCCCTCCCCTTCTCGTCTACCCGCCCTCTCATCGCCGTCATCGAACTTGACTTGTCGTCCCCAGACGCTTTTATTGGCGCTCGCCTCATCTCTTCTTGCTCCTCCTCGCTCCTTCTCCTCACACACGCTCCTTCTTTTCGCACCCAGTCCTCCTCTTTTCCGCCCTATTCATCGACCGGATTTGGACTCTTTATACTCTCCGTCCAATTAATTTTTTTTTTGAATTGTCTGACATCCGCGAGATTTCCTAATCGTTTGCCAGGTGATTTACTGCCTTTGTGTACGTCCGCATGATCAGTTTTGGTGTGCTCAGCAAGGGGATGTGTGGACTGGCGAGTTCCTCGTCAGACGCAGAGACGGCTCGCCTTTCCCCGCCATGGTGCGAGTTACCCTTCACCACCATGTTGCGCGCCATTCTTCCGAGCCTTGCTGCGCGCTACCTCTAATACCACATTCCCTCCATACCCATGTCTCTCCGCACCCACCCGTCTTCCCCCCCCACCCCCCCACCCGCCGCCACACAATCGCCTCTCCGTTGCATCTCACCGTCTGCTCCCTGCGCGCGCCACCTCGCAGGTGACACACACGCTCATTCTGACCCCGTCGGGACAGCTGGTGGGGGTGGATCAGCGTGTAGGCACATCACCGACATCAAGCGCAAGGAGGGCGAGATCCGCGCGCTCAACGCAGCACTGGAGGAGCGCATTGTGGAGCGCACGGAGCAGCTGCAGCGCAACAACCAGGTGCTGCGGCAAGAAATGGAGGCCTTATCAACTTTTGACTCGCAATCCTCGGTAGCTCCCTCTGATCCCTCGTCGTGCTGCCACCCTCCCATTCCCATCTTCAAGACCCGTGAGAGTGCACGGTGGTTGCTTGAGCACGCTTCGACACAGATAGGAAGGGACTCCAACTCGCAAGACTCAGAAAAGTTGAAGGATCGTGTCAGCGCTAGTGGAACAACGAGGGAACCGTAGCTTACCTCACCGCCTTCACTATAAGTTTCCCCGAAGCTCCTGCGTCGCCGAACACCTTTCCGTTGCGCTTGGTAGGACGCAGCTTGACCACATATTTCACTGGTAATGGGAGTCGTTGGGGGGGATGGGGAAGACGGGGAAGTCAGCTGCTACACATCAGTTTCTTGAGGAGCTGAGAAGTTCCATGATGCACGAACGCGGAGACTCGGGAGCGGAGCGGACGCTAAGTAGAAGTACAATGCGACCTTCACACGGTTTCGTGCCGCGCTGCACGGCCGAGACTCCGAGTCGGAGTCGGCGGGTGCACTACTGAGCATTTCGCACTTACCAAGTGTCTTTCCCTTCCACAACTTCTGAGGCCTGGCCTGAGCGACAGAAGCGGCAGAAGAGTTGCCGTCGTGAGAGAGAAGAGGCGCAAACAACGATGTGGCAGACGCGCCATAGGCAGTGCAGACAGCCGCACCTGCAGTCAGGCAGTGAGGCAGTCAAGTAACGATTTGAGATGTGACGTACTAGTTCACGAGCGTTCAATGCGTTCAATGTGTCACCCCTCCCAATCGGCTTGAAAGGGCCAACTTTGGTCTGTGGAAACACGCAGCGCCAGCAGCAGCATCAGCCGCCAAGAACCACGCAAAGCATCTGAACAGGGCTCGGAAAACAGCGCACAAATACAACATCACACCCCTCCCCGAAGGTACGGCAGCACGAAGGTACGGCAGCACGTGCATCTTATCCTCCTCACAGTCCGCATAGCTTTAGAATGAGATGGTATGTGGACAAACCTTCCACATACCTCGAAGCCTAAAAACCCCACCTGCGGTGCAAGCGGTGGTCGAGAGCGGCGCGAAGGTACGGCAGCACGTGCGTCCTGTCCTCCTCATAGTCCACATAGCCCGGCGTGAATCCGCGCCAGAAAATTAAGTCCGGCTCCATTGCCTCTATGCCCATTGCTGACCGCTATACTATACACTTACAAAATGTCTTTCCCTTCCACACCAGAGGCCTGGCCTGAGTAGCAGAAGCGGCAGATGAGACGCCATCGTAAGAGAGGAGAGGCGTAGACAAGGATGTAGCAGACGCGCTGTAGGCAGTGCAGATCGTCGCTTTTGCAGCCAGGCAGGGGTGCAGGTAACAATTCGAGACGTGACATGGTTCGCGAGTGTTCAACGTGACAAAGCAAACCCTGGGTTCCGACCGAAATCGCTGTGAATTTCGCAACCCCCCCCCCCCCCCCATTCTTGGGATGCAGCGCTTACATAGCAGCAGGCGGTAGAGGCGAGATGATGTGTGACACCCCATGCTGATCGCATTACTTCGTAGGCTTGTTTTGCCAAATTCTAGCCAGCCACGAGATGAGTGACCTGGTGGATAGAAGATGTAACCCGGTGCACAGAAGGGGAACCCTGTTATGAGTTGTCAAACTGTAAGGATTTACAGAATCCTTACTGAGGCACTCGTTAGCGAGGCCATCCCGAGGATCACGCGACGAACCTGTCCTTCCTATTTCGTCACACCGAACCACCCCCGAGTCGCCTCCGCACCAATCGCATCCATCACCGAGCCATCCTCGCCCAACCTCCCCGCCTTGCTAGGACTTCCCCTATTTAGGCCTCGTCACTTCCATTCAGTAATTCAGTACTCAATCATTCTTGATATTCGTTTTACTGCGCACTCTGCAAGTTCATTCATAACACCTGGTATCAGAGCTACTTTCCTAGCCTACCCCGCTTTTAGAGTGTAGTACCCCTCGGGGGGGGGGGGGGACGAGGAAGGATGTCTTGGGGTCCAGGAGTTGCGTAGGCCGGCCAGGAGAACGAGTTAGTTGCTCCTCGCGGCCATGGTTTTACGGGTACTCCTTCGGCACCGCTAGATCCTTGCCTCGAACGGTCGCGATCGACCGTGACCTCCCTCCCCCCGTGCAACGGGCAGCTGTAGCTGTCGCGACGTTAATGTGAGTAAATTTCCGCTGCGATTTACCGACGATTTCGGAAGTTTTGTGTGGCAGCTGGCGTCAGCGGACCTATGTCGGCACCTGCCCGAAATTCGCGGAGTTGTCAACGTGTGTGGCAGTTGACGCCGTCGGACTTGGGTCAACAGCTGCGCGACAATTTCGGAGTTCGTCTGATGCGGCAATTTACGACGGTGGCTCGTCGTCATTTTGCGCGCATGCCTCGCGGAATGTGTTTCAGCAGCTGGCGACAATGGACGTGCGTCACTGTGGGCGACATTCTCTGAGCTACTGTGAAGAAATGTCGGCTGGGGAACTCGCCAGGCGCAAAAGGAGTTTGCATCCGAAAATGTCGGTGGCGAGGAGAGACGACACAAGACTGCCCGACTTAGCGGGAGTCAACTGCCGTCCCGCCCGACCTGTTAAGTGCGGCGGCTTTTACTGCATTGGCGGGCGCGTCATCGAATATTTTGGCAAGAGTGCTCGTGGACAGACGGGAACTTCAGACCCGCCAACACTTACGGGCTGCAACAGAAAACGGAGTGGCTAAATCGCACTCAGGAGGAGTGGGACGCAGGCGGCGAGGGCAATACGGGCCCATACACCCTGAAGAACACTCGGATGACGCTGCGTGCCTGGTACTGTTGACAGCTGGCCAACAATTTCGAGAGTGGATTCCCGGTAAGGAAGTCATTTTCGGGGACAGCCTCAACAACCCACGATTAAACGGTGTTCAAGGTACCACGCCGACAATTACGGAGGAGAGTGGTACAGGCCGCCGGGACACACGAGAAGAAACTACCCGACGGCTAAGCGGGGGTTGAAGAACGGCGCGAAAGGCAGGTTAAAAGCCGGTGTGAACGATCTGTGACCTTCCGTCGCCTGAACCTCACCATCCCCACCAAGTTTCTAGTTCTGACTCATGCAGTCAACTTGCTTGGCCGAATAACGGGGGTGAACACGGGCCTACCCTGTGCTGGTTAATGGTACCTGGATTGGTGCTCGTTCAACTGCTGTACAGAAAAAACAAAAAAAGGGGGAGTTGCGGCACTGTTCTACTCCGACAAAAGCGGGCTGGGTGAAACAGCACGCGAAAAAATCGAGGCGCCGCATGACAACAACGGTGCAGTTCGCTGGTTTCTCCTGACCCAGGCATCTACACGATGTGACGATGCAGCGGCGAAGCGGGGACCGGGATTCTGTGGAGTTTAGTGGCGTGATGGTCGCGGTGGGCTGCAAAACGGTTGGGCGACTGTTCCTTTTAATTAAGGGTCCCCGACTCCGATAGTTTTTGCCCCTCCACCGTGGCTGGGTTCGCGCGGGCAACACCGACTATACCCCATCAGAAAAATGCGGACGCTAGGTGAACGGCGGGAAGCGGAATTGTCGGGGGGTGAAACGACCAAAAAAAATGAAGCTGCGGGTATTTCTTCGCTTCTTGGAGTGCGGTTGAGTCGTTGGGGGACTTCGCCTGAAGGGCACTATTCGAAGTTGCCTGGCAAGAAACACAACGGCAAGGATACCTAGGACCTCCGGTGTTTAAACGCACACCTTGGGAAATTCTTCAGAAAAAAGGGAGCGTGGGAGCAGTCGTAGCTTCGGGAACTTATCGACCGGCGATGAGCGATGCGGTGAAACATCTACAAAGCGCTGGTGGGAGAAACGTGGGTTTTTGTTCAACAGCATCGGCGGGAGCAGTTTCGACTACGGAGTCAACGGCGTTGATGCCTCTAGGTTCCGTGAAATTCGGTCTCGGAATAACCCAGGGCAGTCCCCGGTTCTCGATTGAACCCACATGCTGGGGTCGGGTAACCGACGGAAACTGATGGTGACCGAGTGGGCGGCTATAGCACGTCCGAGGTTTTCGGAGGCGAACTACAACTGCAACTGCGGATTTACGGGGTCTGATTCGAGCGACAATTTCGGAGTGTTTACGTGGAGACTTACAAGTTTTACGGCAAGGAGCGCCGACAATTTCGGAGGAGCATTCGGCGTTCGGTTAAACACGCGCAACAATTACGTGGGGCAACACCGCGAGAACTGTCAGAACATTATAGCTTATGCTTTTGTGTAGGCTGTAGTGGGGTATCCCATAAGAGGTACAACCCAATTAGGGTTAGTACTTGTACCCACTTCATTCATAGTTCATTCATTCCCGTTCATACTTTCTCATGGTATCGAGCAGGTTCCCTCGTGGGAACTGTTCCTAGGGCCCACCGATCCCTTTTTTTTTCTCCCCGGGGCGCGTCCTGCCCCTGCCCGAAGCGCGCCTAGGGTCGCACCCTTCTTTGCGGACCCGTCGCGTCACCTTAGCGGCCCGTCGCGTTGCCCTTAGCGGCCCGTTGCGGCGCCCTTACGGTAGCGTCGCGCAGCCCTAACGGCCGCGTCGCACCGCCCTTTCACAAGCGGCCCGTCGCCGCCCTAGCATCGGCCTGTCGCCACCCTAGCAGCGGCCCGTCGCCGCCCTAGCAGCGGCCCGTCGCCGCCCTAGCAGCGGCCCGACGCCGCCCTAGCAGCGGCTCGACGCCGCCCTTTCACCTGCGGCCCGTCGCCGCCCTAGCAGCGGCCCGTCGCCGCCCTTCTCACCTGCGGCCCGTCGCCGCCCTTCTCACCTGCGGCCCATCGCCGCCCTAGCAGCTGCCCGTCGCCGCCCTTCTCACCTGCGGCTCGTTGCCGCCCTTCTCACCTGCGGCCCGTCGCCGCCCTAGCAGCGGCCCGTCGCCGCCCTTCTCACCTGCGGCCCGTCGTCGCCCTTCTCACTTGCGGCCCGTCGCCGCCCTTCGTAGCGGCCCGTCGCCGCCCTTCTCATCTGCCGCCCGTCGCCGCCCTAGCAGCGGCCCTGTCGCCCTTATCTGCGGCCTCGCCGCACTCTGCTGCGGCCTCGTCGCCTCTCACCTGCGGCCCCGCCGCTCCCCTCTGCGGCCCCGTCACCTGCTGCAGCGCCGCCCGCCACCAGGGCTGCCCGACCCGCCCCACCCAGCCGAGCAGCCGAGCGCCGCGCCGCCCTACAGCAGCACCGCCGAGCCGCCCGAGCGACGGAGCAGCCGGACAGCCGAGCCGCCAGGCCGCTCAGCAGCCGAGTAGCCGAGCCGCCTTGCAGCCGAGCCGCCCAGCAGCCGAGCTGCCCTGCAGCCGAGCCGCCCAACAGCGGAGCCGCCCTGCAGCCAAGCCACCAAGCAGCCGAGCCGCCGTACAGTCGAGCCGCCGGGCCGCCGAGCCGCACTGTACCCGAGCCGCCCAGTAGCCGAGCCGCTGAGCCGCCCGAGCTGCCCCGTCCGGTAAGCACTGCGTCTCCTTCACTCCACTGCCCTCACCCTACTGTTTGCACTGCTAGTCTACTGTGGTCATGGCTACCCCTAGTGTCCTAGCTTTTGACGCTGAGGGTCGGGCCATTGACTTTGAGGTCTGGGTAGATGACCTGCAGCTGTTCTTACAGTGCGATAGGGCAGACGGCCTCTCTCTCTTTGACCTCACATCTGGCGCTTCCCCTGCCCCTGCTGCTGATGCTGACGCAGTGGGCCACGCGCGACGCTGCTGCACGTCTTGCTGTGCGTTGCCACCTCCCTACCTCCGAGCGTGCACACTTTAGTCAGTACAAGAGTGCTCAGACCTTGTACGACGCTGTAGTTGCGTGCTACTCCTTTCTCTGCCACTGCTGCACTGAGCCGTCTCATGCTGCCGTACCTCTTCCCTGACCTTGCTGCCTTTCCCACATTCGCTGACCTCATTACGCACCTCCGCACTAGTGACACTCGCTACCGCGCTGTGCTTCCTGCTGACTTCTGCGCCAAGATCTCCCCCCCCATGTACATCACCCTCTACTTCATAGTCACCCGACTCCCTGACTTCCTTAGAGTAGTCAGGGACCACTTCCTCGCAGTGTGCCCCACCACTCTCACCATTGACCTCCTCGAGAAGTCCCTCCTAGCGGCGGAGAAGAGCATAGTCGCTGTAGGAGCCTCTCGTGGTGACCCCCGCACCCCTGTCTTTGAGGGGTGTTCTCCCTCCCCCCTCTTGCCCTCTGTTGCTTCTGCTGCTGCGGCCGACCTCGTTGGTTTCGAGTCGGTCGGCGCTGCGTCTGCCCCTTCGGGGAAGCGCCGCACAGGCAAGGGCAAGGGGGGCAAGGGCGCTGGAGGAGCTGGCGGGGGCGGTGGAGGTGGTGGTGGAGGCGGCGGAGGGGGTGGGGGTGGTGGTGGGAGTGGTGGAGGGGGTGGGGGTACCGGTAACAGCAGTGGGGGCGGAGGCGGCCGCTGTGGCGGAGGGAGCGGAGGAGGCGGTAGTAGCGGTGGCGGCAGTGGTGGCGGAGGCGGCGGTGGTGGCGGAGGCGGCGGAGGCGGCAGAGGAGGCGGAGGTGGCGGTGGAGCTGGTCGCGGGTCTACGCAGAGGAGTGGCTCCGGTGGTGGTCCGCGCCAACAGCAGCAGCGCGGTCGTGAGATCCTGTCCCCTCAGCAGCTCCGTGAGTGGTACACTGCACGCCAGCGGGGTGGGGGTTTTGGTCCGTGCACCTACGTCCTGCGCACCGGCGACCGTGCGGGTGAGAAGTGTGGGGGTGCGCACCCCACCCAGCGCTGCTTTGGCCGCCTGACGGACGCGTGGCGTCACCAGTTCCCTGAGGCCACAGAGATCCCTCGCTGGGGAGAGCTGTCTAGGGCGGGAGCTGCCATCCATGATCTTGATTTTGATGCTATTCTGTTTGCCATGTATGCTGTGACTAATAGTGATGAGGGTGACTGTTACCGGTGTTTCCCGCCCGATCCGGGCATTGAGACTGCTGCTCTAGGTACTGGTGCGGCTGCTGCCCTAGGTGCTTGCGACGCTGCTGCTCTAGGTGCGAGTGCGTCTGCGTCCTCAGGTACTGGTGAGTCTGCGCTCTCAGGTACTACGTCGGCTTCGGCCTCCCTCACCTTCACCCTTGACTCCGGGGCTTCTCGCTCCTTCTTTCGGGACCGCACCACACTCACGCCGCTGAGTCGGCCGGTTGCGTGTCAAACATTATATATGTTGTTGTAGTTATTTAGGCTACAGTGGGTTAGCCTATAGGGGGTACACATTTCTAGGGTTTCATACTTGTACTCATTTCACTGTTAGTTCATCTATTCTTGTTCAACATGGTATAGAGCAGGTCCTTCCTATGACCGATTTTTTTTTAGGGCGCACCACTACCTACCTACCTACCTACCTACCTACCTACGCCCTAGGGCGCCTCGGCTTTCACACCCCTAGAGGCCCCGTCGGCCCCGCGCTCTCGCACCTAGAGGCCTCGATCGGCCCCGCGCTCGCTTTTAGAGGCCCCGAATCGGCCCCGCGCTTACCCCTAGAGGCCCGCGTCGGCCCCGCGCTCGTCCTTAACGGCCCCGATCGGCCCCGCGTTTGCCCTTAGCGGCCCACGTTGGCCCCGCGCTCGCCCTTAGCGGCCCTTAACGGCCCCGCGCTCACCCTTTACGACCTCGAATCGGCCCCGCGCTCGTCCCTAAGGCCCCGGGTGGCCCCGCGTTTGCCCTTCCGGCCCCGCGCTCGTCCCTTACGGCCCCGATCGGCCCTGCGCTCGTCCCTCACGGCCCCGATAGGCTCCGCGCTCGCCCTTAGAGGACCACGTTGGCCCCGCGCTGGTCCTTGACGGCCCCACCCGCTCCCCGCGCTCGCCCTTAGCGGCCCCGAACGGCCCCACCCAGAATGAGCCGCCCGAACCGAGCAGCCCGAACCGAGCCGACCCGAGCCGCCCAGCTCTAACGGAACCGAGCCGCCCGACCCGAGCCGCCCAGCCCTAACCGAGCCGAGCCGCCCGACCCGAGCCGACCAGCCCTAACCGAGCCGCGCCACCCGACACGAGCCGCGCCGCCCTACCTATACCGAGCCGCGCCGCCCTACCTATACCGAGCCGCACCGCCCTACCTACCCTTTGACTGCTCCTATTGCTTTTCCTACTGCTGCTACCATGGCTAGCCCTCCTGTGCTAGCCTTTGATGCTGAGGGCCGCCCAGTGAAGTTCGACACCTGGCTGGATGGCCTACAACTCTTCCTACAGCTCACTGCCAAGGAAGACATCTCACTGTACGATCACGCCCTAGGCCACGCTACTGCTCCTGCTGCTATTGCTGACAGCACTGCCCGCTCACAGTGGCAGACTCGTGACGCCCATGCTCGCTTCGCTATTTGCAACTCTCAACCGATAGATGAGCGTGAGCACTTTGGGCAGCACAAGACTGCGCAGGCACTGTACACTGCTGTCGTTGCCCGCTACTCCTCACCGGCCTCTGCCGCTCTAGGCCGTCTCTCTCTTCCCTACCTGTTCCCCGACTTAGCTTCCTTCCACACTGTCGCTGATCTCATTACCCACCTCCGCACTAGTGAGGCTCGCTTCCGCGCCGCTATGCCTGATGAGTTCCTTGCCAAGAACCCACCCCCGCTCTGGCTCACTCTCTACCACCTAGTCACCTGCCTCCCTGACACTCTGCGCTCAGTCATGGACCACTTCCTAGCTCGCTGCCCCACCGAACTCACCATTGCCCTCCTCGAGAAGGAACTCCTTGCAGCTGAGGCTAGCATAGTCGCTGTAGGTGCATCTCGCGGTGACCCCCGTACCGCGTTCTTTGAGGGGTGTTCTCCCTCCCCCCTTCTTCCCTCTGTCGCCTCTGCTGCTGCTCTCGACCTCCTTGGTGCTGAGAAGGTCGGGACTGCGTCTGCTTCGAGCGGGCGCCGCAGCGGCAAGGGCAAGGGGGGCAAGGGCGGTGGTGGTGACAGCGGGGGTGGCGGTGGTGGGGGAGGTGGTGGTGGCGGGGGGGGTGGCGCGGGTGGGGGAGGTAGCAGCAGTGGGGGGGGTGGCGGCAGCGGCGGGGGAGGTGGCCGGGGCGGAGGAGGTGGTGGGGGTGGCAGTGGACGAGGCAGCGGCCGGGGTTGGGGTGCTCGAGGAGGTGGTAGCGGAGGTGGTGGTCGTGGAGGCACTGGCGGTGGCCAGGGCCAGCAGCAGACTCCGTCGCCCCAGGAGGTCCGTGAGTGGTACTCTCAGCACGAGGGGGGGGGTGGCCTTAGCTACACGTACGTCATTCGCACTGGTGACCGCACTGGCCAGCCGTGTGGGGGACCGCACGCCACACAGTGTTGCTTCGCTCGTCTCAACGACGCTTGGCATGTTCAGTTCCCCCAGGCCACTGAGCTGCCCCGCTGGGTTGATCTCATGAAGAAGGGGATTGATATCTATGCTCTAGACTTTGATGCTATTCTCACTGCCATGTATGTGATGTCTACTAGTGGAGAGGGTGCTGAGTACCTGAGTGTCCCGCTCGACCCGGGCATTGGGACTAGTGCGTCTGCCGCTCCAGGTACTCGCGTGTCTGCTACCCCAGGTGCTGGTGAGGCTGCTGCTCTAGGTGCTTGTACGTCTGCCCCCCCTAGTACTGTGTCGACTGCAGCACTGCACACCTTCACGCTGGATCCAGGTGCCTCTCGTTGTTTCTTTCGTGACCGCACTGCCCTTGAGCCCCTTGCTCGGCCAGTAGCTGTTTCCCTCGCTGACCCCTCTTGGGTTCCGGTCCTTGCGACCTCCTCCACTGTCCTTCCCTGTCCTACGGTCCCGTCGGGCACACTGTCAGGTCTCCACCTCCCCTCGTTCTCCACGAAATTGGTGGCGGGTTGTGCACTCCAGGACGCGGGTGTTCACCAGTTCACCCCTGCCTACGAGCATGTCACACACTGCACGTGTGCTCGTACAGGCCGCCACTTGGCTACCTTCACCCGGCAGCCGCGGTCGGACCTGTACACACTGACTACTGCCTCCCCTCAGGTAGCTGCGCCTGCGTCTGCGTTTGCGTCCACGTCAGGTCAGCTGTCTGCCCCCTGCTCGTGTCGCTCTCTAGCGCACGAGACTATCCTCTGGCACCACCGACTTGGCCACCCGTCTGTGCAGCGCCTTCGTGCCATGCACTCCCGGTACCTTGTCTCTGGTCTTCCCAGGGTCCTTCCTCCCCTCCCTCCCTCGCCTGCTCCTCCCTGCCTTCCCTGTGTCGAGGGGCGGCAGCGCGCCGCTCCTCACTCCTCCTCGTTTCCCCCGATGACTGCTCCTTTGCAGACGCTCCACATGGACGTGTGGGACCCAGCCCGCGTCCGTGGTCAGGGTCAGGAGAGGTACTTCCTGATCGTTGTTGACGACTACTCGCACTACACCACGGTCTTCCCCTTGCGCACCAAGGGTGAGGTCCCTGATGTTTTGATCCCTTGGATCCGCAGAGCTCGTCTCCAGCTCAACGAGCGTTTCCGCTCGGACTTTCCTGTCCTGCGCTTGCACTTTGACAGAGGTGGTGAGTTCTCCTCCGACCTCTTGGCAGCCTACTGTGCTGAGCACGGCATTGAGCAGTCGTTCACGCTTCCAGCCTCTCCACAGCAGAATGGGGTTGCGGAGCGCCGCATTGGCCTGGTCATGGAGGTTGCTCGTACCTCCTTGATCCATGCGGCTGCCCCCCACTTTCTGTGGCCGTTTGCGGTTCGGTACGCTGCGCATCAGCTCAACCTCTGGCCCCGTGTCTCCTTGCCGGAGACCTCGCCCACACTCCTGTAGACGGGGGAGGTTGGCGATGTGTCGCGTTTCCGGGTCTGGGGATCTCGAGCTTTTGTCCGCGATTCGTCTGCGGACAAGCTCTCCTCTCGTGCTGTTCCCTTCGTCTTCCTCGGCTTTGTTCCGGACGCGCCTGGTTGGCAGTTTTACCACGCCACCTCGCACCGGGTCTTGCCCTCTCAGGACGTCACTTTTGACGAGTCTGTCCCCTAATACCGCCTCTTCCCCTACCGCACTGCCCCGCTCCCACCCCCGCCTCTCTTCCTCGCGCCAGGTGCTGCTGTCGTAGACCCCCTCCCCCCTCAGGGTGCCGCTCCCTCAGGTGTGTCTCAGGTAGACCCAGTCGAGCCTGTTGAGGTTGCTGTCGACTCTCGTCCTGCTGGGGGTGCTGAGCCTGGGGGTGCGGACTCTGGGGGTGCTGAGCCTGGGGGTGCGGACTCTGGGGGTGCTGAGCCTGGGGGTGCGGACTCTGGGGGTGCTGAGCCTGGGGGTGCGGACACTGGGGGTACTAGGCCTGGGGGTGCTGAGCCTGGGGGTGCGGTGACTGGGGGTGCTGAGCCTGGGGGTGCTGGGTCTGGGGGCTCTACCTCTGGCGGTGCTGGGCCTGAGGGTGCTACACCTGGACGAGACCTCTCCTCGGAGCAGTTGCGTGAGTGGTACTTACAGTACTGCAGCCTCTGGAGAGGTACCTCTGGGACCAGGCGCACTACAGGGACTGGTGCTGGTACTTCTCCTCCTAGTCGGGAGCTTCCCTCCCGTGAGCGGATCCGTGAGTGGTACGAGCGCCGTTGCACACTTCGGAGTGGCGCGCCTCGTCTCACGGACCCGGCTGCTGCTGGTGCTACGGACCCGGGCGTTGGAGCTGCTGCTGGTGCTGCGGACCCGGGCGTTGGAGCTGCTGCTGGTGCTGCGGACCCTGGCGTTGGAGGTGCTGCTGGTGCTGTGGACCCTGGTGTTGGAGTCCCTGCTGGTGCTGAGGACTCGGGCGTTGGTGCTGAGGCTAGTACTGAGGACCTGGGCGTTGGAGCTGCTGCTGGTTCTGGTACTGCCGCTGGGGGTCCTGGTGCTGTCCCTGCTGTGTCTGGAGTCGCCGTGCGCCCTCAGCCGTACTTCGTTCCGCTCCTTCAGCAGGTTCTTGGTCTCTCGCCTCCTCCTGGTCCTCCTCCCTTAGCGTGTTCACAGCCTGTCCCGTCACAGTTACAGCTGCAGCCGGCCTCCCCACTACCTGCTCCTTCTCTTTACACTGGTCCTACTGGCGGTCTTGCTGAGCGTCATGAGTCTGCGTCTCGCCCTGCGTCGCCTGTCCGTCCTGCTAGCGCTAGTGCTCGTAGTTCGTGTCAGCGTCCTCCTCCTGCCCCTGGCACGCACCGGATGTCTCTGCGTCCGTCTACTGCTCCTCTGTGTGCCCCTTTGCCTTCTCCTCCTGCGTCCTCTCTTCCTCCTCTCGCCGACCCTGCGTCGG